CCCCATGTCGTCGGTGAATAAAACTGCGGCAACTACAACAAGTACGCGGTTATTACAGCTGACAATGATGATGATCATGTCTTCTAGGTGCTAAACTGGGAGTGTAAGGTCCCATCTGAAGACATGTTCCAAATAAATTCGGACATTTTTTTCTAAGATAAAAGAGCTCGTATCATTTGATGTTACTTCTGAATGAAAAACCGCAGTAGCAAATGTGTTCACGTATGAGTGGACCAGCGTGTATGGCGTTGACTGACTCGCTGATTTGCTGAGACCTGATCAGGCCACAGTTTCAGCGCAATTGAATGTGGTGCGGTCTGCTCAAGGTGGGGGATAATACCGAGTGAAGTGTTTGGTTGTCTAAATCCGCCAATTTGGCCCACAGATGACGGTTATGGGCTTGAAAAATGATACCAGGAGTTCATGGGGTGGTCCGGCAGGCTGGAATATACCTATTGCAATGAAAATTGATTTCTTTCAGTGCTTATGCGTTTTCCAATACGAGTGTTTGGGAGAAGTCGTGTAAAAAATGTTCAGTCAAGGTCCCGGGAATGACTTAAGTATACCGAACACATCGGTTGTTGGATAGATTCACGCACGTCAGAACTATTCATGGTTAAATGCAATGGACACATTTTAGCTAGGGTGTCCTGCTCGTGAAAACGTAGGTATCCTGTATAAAGCTGAATAACCGATTTACCGGTTAAATTTTTCCAACCTGCGAAGCACTACTCGAATCTTTTTGACAAGACAGACGACGAACTAACGCACAGAATTTGACTTCCACACTCATCTGCATATTACTTCGATTTTGATGGGGACTCACCTGAAACCAAAGTGGATCTCGCTTTTGATGTTTTAACTTAGTCAGGTTCAAGATCAGTCCTCTGTCAACACCAAATTGGTATGGAGACGAGTGTAGAAATTTGGGCTCAGGTGGAACATAAAGTTGACTTAAACTGGGGGACTTCGCCTTACCGATGAGCGGTAGCACACCCGAGCTACCTATATTCCGCAACACTGTCAATAACCGATGAGCTCCAAGAAGGGCAAAACCAGGCGTGGGCTGTCAAAGAGTTTTCGGCAACCTTTCGAATAGCGTGTTGTGCCTGTAGTGTATAGGATGTAACCTCAACAGGGCACCGTCCCCGGTCTTGTCGGCAGAACTAGATCCGTTCTGCTTATGGTCGAGATCACTAAGTCAGCTGTTCGAATCCATCCCTATATATCTCGGCACGTGGACAACCTGGCAGTTGGTTCGCATCGATGCATTTGAATGGCTCCGTGTCTTCTATCTGAGCGTGTCCTGTTGCTGTTGGTTCACTAAGTTAACTAAGAACAGCTTTTTCCTGTTGTTGCATTGACGCTGTTCGCCCCTTCTCCCAATTTCAATTTGCTGATCTTACTGATGGCCTAGCCACATTGACTACAGACATTTACACAAGGTTTTCTTTCCAAATCTTTTTTGCAGGCTTTTGACGACGTGGATATCGAACAGAAAATGAGCATCCGTTTCCTCGAATAACTGAAGTGTCGCACATCCCTCCCTTTCCTTCTTGAGGCTGTGACCATGCCCCGTCTAATCCCTCGTTCCCTGGCTCCGTGTGGACCATTTCACCCATGCTTTCTTGGCTCACGATTCAGCTGACCAGTTATTCCTAACTCACTCCAACTGTGCTTCCCATGTTCTTCGCTTATTGATTCGTTTCCATTGATTGATGACTTTTGCAAACGACGCGGATTAGTTTTTTCATGATTCCTCGTTCCACTGATTGCGTGGCTCCATGTTGACATCGACGACTCATCATTTCCGATATCCAGTTCTCAGATACTTGTTTGTACGTGCGATGTGCACAGTAGCGTTCGATGTCGCGTATATTCTTTATCGCTTGTCAGGGCCGTCAGAAACTGAAGACGATGTGGGGCCAGTTTCCTTTTTCTCAGTGGGGGTCTTTTGGTTGCCCTCCATTCTCGGTTTGACCTCCAGTGTGTCAGAATTCTGCCTGCTGGCTACCATATAGACATTCTTTATGCTTCTGGGCAGAACGTGGGTAGTTTAGGCAGACTAGACGGCTGCTGGTTTTTCTGGTAAACTAAACACAGCCTAGTTACAACCAAACTCAGCGAAAAACCCAGCGACTCTAAAGACATTCTATCACGTCATTCGTTATAATTCCATATAATCGTAAGCGTAAACTACTCTCCTCTGCCTAGTCGCGCTCCACGCGCCTTGTATGCGGTGCGCAGAATGTTCCCCAAATACGACCCTTCATTGGTGCTCTAAAAATTAATCGCGTCTTGTGACATTGGATACCTAAGTAAACGTTTTTCTTATTTCCGGTGACGTCCACCCTAGATGTGGCCTGATGCATCATCGATCCCTTGTTCACTGGTGCGTTGTTTCTTCCCACTAGCTGCATCCTGCACCCTAGTTTGATGCACGTTACCGTTCTATCGCAATGATATGTTTTTCTGACGTAACGATTCGTGTCGCTCGTGATACTTGTTTGCCGCATCTACGACTGTGCCTTCTGAGCTAATGTGAATCGTGAAATAAGCAGACTGTTCCACATCGATGTACTCACAAAGGCTCAGCTTACAAACGGATAATGTAATCACATAATAAATTCATTCGATTTATCACAACGGTGGAAATGGAACGGGCAACAGAGAGCAGCCATGCCTTTTATGTCAAATAAACTATCTGAAGCGTCGAGTTACAGCGTTTAGAAATCATGAGTATGGAACCGCG